AATGTGAAATTTATTTCACGCACAATAGGACACCATTGTATTTCGTTAGATCTATGCCTGAATTTTTATCGGAAATGTTTGGTAGTCGATAGATGGAACGTAGACCTGCACCGCATTTTTGGTCGTCTCGTTCTCTAGATCTAACACCTGTCGGTTTCTTTCTGTGAGAACATATAGTTTATCGGTCAGCACAATCAATAAGATCAACAATTAAAATTTTGGTTTTGAGAGAATTTGGTTTTACGGCTTCTATACCGATCCAAATGTTTTCAAAACAAGAATCGATAATCATCTAACGAAGTTTATTTCGTGCGTGTGCAAAACAGACAAAAAGAGTGTAAACAGTGTGAAGATTGAGAATAAAGCGAACAGACAATACAAAGGGAAAAGATAGAAGAGAATTGCTGAGAGAGATAAGAAACAAAAATAGACCAGAGAATGCAGATGGCGTAAACGGATAAGTCAGACTGAAGGTGACATCTCCTGGCACAAAACAGAACTGCAGAAAATAAAATGGGAAAATTGAGAAAGGGGAAGAAAGTAATGCATAAATACAAAGCATAGACAATATATATAAATAAATTTTGCATCATAGATAGATATGTGAATAGACATAACGTCTTATGAATGTTATGAGATTTCTTGTTACAACATCTGAAATACCGACATGGTCAAAAAATCACTGGTCTTTCAGCGCATTCTACGTTTAACAACGGTGAATTGGGGAATTACATCAAGTAAAACAATCGACATTAATCAAGTACTGAATGCGTGAATCAGGAATATGATTTTTGAAACCCATTATAGTGTTATCAAACTTTCAATACCGAAATATGAAGCTAGTAATTAATCGAAATCATTTTATTACATATATGTCAGAAAGAGGTCTATCCATGTTTTACGGATTTATCACGGCTTTTAAATATGTAGTAAATTAAAATTTTTAAATTATTAATACATGGTTTTAGGTATAATGATTTATATTTTATTAAATATTCTTAAAAACAATTTTTAACTAAATTTTCAACTATTTTAATTTATTATTAATATTAAATTATCAAATTTATGTTAAATTTTTAAGAATTTTATTATAATTACGCAATGCATTTTATTATAATTACGCATTGATTATGACTTAATAATATAAATTTTATAATTCATTAGTTAAAAATTACGCTTATTGATTAAAATATTATTCGAAATTTTTCTGTAAACTATTTTGCCTCAATGTTATGATAATAACAAAAAAAATTTGTTATTTATTTAATATAAATTTTTAATATTTCATGAAGATTTAATGAAAAATATAGACATACCTACGGAACATATCTTTAAATATCTCGCAAAATCGATGTTGAATATGTTTATTAAATTTAGTATAAAGAGGCACATTAAGTGGTGAAAATTATATTTTTGCAGATCAAGACTAAACTTATACTTTATAATTTTATCGAACATTATTAGAACGAGATAGATTTTTTAGATAGATTTTTTAGCTTCTTGACATAAAAATACGTATATTTTTCTCTTATTTGTATTTTGATCGAATCTGAAGACGGTTCATACCATACCGTAACGAATACCAAAGTATTTAAAGGGACATAGATTTCAAATTTTTCATTCAAAGCTGTAGTATTTGCTAAAGTACATCCCAAGAGGATTTTGTCATGTCTAATATTGTTCTTATGTCTAATTCGTCGGAACATGAAACAATTCGCCGGGAAAAATGATTTACTTAAAGTATCATACGCTTTTTAAATTAATTGCATGAAAATTCTTACTACGAAAATTGTTTTACTTGTTTTAAAGATATTATTTTATATGATCTAATTCTACATTTAAAATAAAGAAGAAAAGATGTATATATATTTGTTTTTTTAAATTCAAAATTATAAGAACAAGATTTTTAATAAATAATTATTTTTAATTGGCACCTACGTCAGCATTAGAACGTACCGTTGGCCTTAACATTTATTATTATATCTTTGAACTGTTTTTAAACATAATATTTATATTTCTATCATGAAGACTTGTTGAAAAGAGAATTAATATTCAGCGAATTAGAAGCAAAGATATTATTTGCGTAACTTTTTCATTTGGTTTTTTATATTCAACATATCTCGTCTGTGCCTCCCGATACAAGAAATCAGTTTTTAAATCCATTCCGTTTTATATTATGCATATAATTATTAATTATGCTTATTAATTATATATAAAATACGAACAATTAGCAGTTAACGTTAAGCCCGATAAGACAATCGATTTGCTGCAAATCTCCCAGCAGCGATTGTTTTGAAATATGATATTCTCTTATCTTATTCTTTTATGAAACAGAAGAATTTTGCGTCACTGTCCTTCCAAAGATCGCCACCTTCAGACCACTCGTCAGCAATTCGAACGTTTAGAGCATAAAATCAGTTTCGGTTTAGTTGTCGTACCGTTCAGGTGTTCGATGAAATAGCTATTATGCGCACTTCGTACAAAAATAGTGTTTCAGTTGGTGACAACAGTGCAGAGTCCGTATCCTAACACAACCACGGATTTACCAATTAACCAACATTATCACTATTTTTGTGAATTCAAATCTAACGCAAAATAATCGAAATAAATCCACAAAATCTTACTCCCACGAGACTTGACTTTCCATCTACCAAAGATCAAGCAATTATCATTCACGCAGTTGATGATATGTCTTCAAGTCATAATAGGAAAATTAATTTAATTAATTAATTAAACCATAAAGCAATAAAATGCATCTCAAGACTCTCAAACAACCAAATATGTAGATATTTGGACAAATAAGAAAAAGTCACGCGCATAATTATCTCATAATTAAATCAATTACCAGCAACAATAAGTATATAAATGTAAGACCAATGTTGAACTGCGACACAAAGAATAATACTTCCCAACGTCTCTCCAGTCGTCTTTAAAAGGAATAACGTTAAATTATGCTTAAAAATATCTACACTCAAAACGAGAAGGACGGATCCAGAATACGTTCACAGATTAAGCTTAAAAAGCCAAGTATGTATACATATATAGATCAAAAAAATACCTTGTATTTTATCAATTTATTTTTTTGGCCCATGATTTTGAGCTCATAGAACCTCGTTATCTTTATGTCATATCCTGTCGTACCAATTGAGACAGATTTTGCAACGCGAATTAGTGACGAGAATTAAAATCAAAAAATATAGCCAGTGTTGCCAGATCTGTTTCGAGAATTATTTATTGAATCATTTACTAATAGGATAAACCGGACATCCAATTATTAATTTCAAATACCAGACTTGCACTGTCAAGAACAGTTCCACTTAACCATAATTGTCTTTTGAACCCAGTTAACAAAAGTTATGCACAAGTTACAGCTGAGTACAAAATGATTTCTTACATAACACAATTAAACTCAAATCCAAATACTCATACAAACAATCTAGTGAGGAAAGAAAATACAGAAATAAAACTCAAATCCAAATACTTATACAAACAATCTAGTGAGGAAAGAAAATACAGAAATAAAACAATTATTAATCCAAATGGTCAAAAACGTGGAACTTCTAACAATACAAAGTAGATTGTTACAATAAAGTCAACATAACTACCACGATACAGCTATTGATACAACTTGTTAAAAATAAATTCTAATGAGAAGTGCAATCAAAATAGACATATGAAACAGTAATGAGCTATAACAAAGACTTTAAGAACTAACAGTTATGAACATAATGTAGACATTATGATGTTCTCACAAATTTATTTTACAATTAAAAATTATGCAAAGATTGCACATTATATCGTCTACGATGCTAAACACCCATCAGAAAAATCGCAAGGAAGATCCGCCATATTAATAAGAAACAACATTAAATATCACTTACATATGATTATCTCCAAACCATAATGGTATTAATATTAACAGAAACCTCAAATAGACTAATACAAATGTCAGCAATCGGCCTGCAGTAGTTCAGAAAACACAGAATCTGATAGATTCGCTGTAATCAAAGATCTAAGTAAGACACATTTCCAACTTATCAAGAAGTCTGTGCCTGAGCTCTGATCATACATCCACTATAAATTATCTACAAAAATCTATGGGAACAGAACCTGCCTCCATCCTATTCAATAACACAGCAGATTAGGAAAAATTGAGGCTGCTAATTAATTAAAGCTTGAACTGCAATATTCCTTTAAAAACAGCTAAACATATTGAGAATGCAGTCAATTATTTAACTCAAACGATTCAAGAAGCAGTCTGGTCATCCATAAACTAACAAATATAGCAACAGCTTATGGTACCCAAATCACATGGTGATTTGCACCTCATAGAAAATAAAGCAAAAAAGAAAAGCGAAATCGCAATAACAGAAATATAAAACAGCTGAATTGGCAACTAACTACAATTAAATATACTCACCAAAGTAACTAAAATAGTGAATATTGCAACAAAGAAATGGAAAAGTATTTATTGAATCTCTCACCATGGGAGGATACAAATTATGCACTATGGAAGGCAATAAGAAGAATAAAAAGGCCTATAATTTTAACTGTAACAGGACAACTTTTGAGCTAAAGCTTCCTCAGAGTAAGTTATAGCTTTTGCAATTACCTTAGACAAACCTTGCAGCCAATATTATGTCGGAAGAAACTACAGTAATTAACAACTACACTGAAGCTGAAGAACAAAATAACACAATTCGCAAAACTGTCAAATCGGAAATTAAAACAATCAAAACATATCAAATCCCAAGTTTCGATCTGATTACAGGAAAAATAATTAAAGAATTATCGAGCAAAGAACTATCAGATTCCAGAGTTGAAAAACTTTGAATAAAATTTTATTCGAAGAATTTATTCAAATAATGCCCAACTATGTGTTCGAATAAGCTTTGTAACGAATAATTTTTCCACGAATAAAATTGTTATTCGTAAATAACAAATAATTCTTTCTCGAATAAATCGGTATTCGTTATTTACAAATAAAATTGACAGTATTTTACTCGTTATTCGTTCGAATAAAATATGCCCAACTCTGTCAGATTCATAACAATATTATTTAATGCTACATTCAGAATCCAGCATTTTCCAAGCACATGGAAATTGATTGAAATTATAATGCTGCCGAAACCAGATAAAAATATTCATGAATTTTTTTCATCAATTCTCTTGAAAATACTATAAAAAATATTCCTCGTCAGAATTAGAAATAATCAATAGTAAACAACTAATACTTAATCATAAATTTGGAGTCAGAGATAAACTGCTACAATCAAGCAGATGTACAAGGTAACCAACAAAATTATCCATGCTCTGGAAGATAAAAAATGCTCAATATGCCTATTCCTGGGTATAGAGAAATCCTTCGACAAAATCTGGAAGATTATTGAGAACAATTAAAAATCACTTCCCTGATGTATTCTACCAACTACTATACTCCTACCTTACAAAGAGAACATTTTATGTAAAAATAAAAGATTCGTTCTCTAGTATAAAATACATAAATGCAAGAATGTCGTAAGGAAGCTTGCTTGGACCTGTACTCTACACTGTATACACTGTAAATGTTTCAACTACACCCAATAATACAATGTATATATTCGCAATGATACTGCAGCACATGAAAACCCAGCTAGAGCAATTCAAATTCTAAAAAAATCATATAAAAAAATTAAAAATATAGTTTTTGGGAACAAAGTATGCTGGTACTTTCTGCGATCATCGAACTTATTATATACTTTATTATACCTTGTGTATGTATTTATACGAGCTGAACGTAATACACGAATGAAGTATTCCTGCTATTTAATTGTGCTCCTTTACTTTTACGAAATCAATCCTAAAACCTAAAACTTTTACAAAATCAATCAATTATTTATGCTAATTAATAATTAATATTAATTCGAATACGTGCAATTCGATTTTTTTTGTGGAAAAACTTACGAATACTTCAATGGATTATACGAATCCTCTACACAAAATGTGCAATTTATATATGTTTTTCATGTATTTGATATTAGATTTTGAGACAAAACGAAACAAAACGAAACATTTATGAAGTGTTCATGTAGCGACGGTTATGCTGCTCAACTGAGCACAGCGACACCTACGTCAGAAGACGGTGGTAGAAAAGCGCGGGAACAGGAGTAACGACACCTTTTTCGGAGCACGACAATTAAATGGTGCGGAAATAGGAAATTAGCACGACACTTTTTTGAGAGATAGCAATAGGAAAACGCAGGAAAAACTGAAAAATTACAATAAATTGATTTTCTGTCTCGCTTTTAAAAAGGTGTCGCTATTGGTCTCCCCGCCTTTGGCGAATCGATTAAGCGGACGTATGTCGCCGTACTCAATTCAGCGGAAGTAGATGTCGCCGTACTCAATTGAGCGGAAGTAACAATCGAAACAAGCGTGTAGTAATTATGATGATAAATAAATTAAAATCACAATACTACAAATAAATAATAACTCCGTAATAAATTTTAGGAGTTTATATAAAAATATTATCAATATATTATTAACAAAATATATAATTATTAAGAACAAATATCAAATAACGAAGATTAAATAATGAAAGTTAAATACCGAATGAATAATTGACATGATGATTGCAGTATATACAAGCTTCTGTAAATATTTGGTGATAATAAAATTACTAACAATTTTTAAATATTCTATTGTTTATAATAAATATCTCGATGGAACGTTTTAATAGATATCGTTGATCTAAATTCTTCAAAGTAGAAGTCGCTACAAGCGTATCAATGTTCCTTCCATCTACCGGACGATCCGTTACACTACTCAAATTTTGTTAAACTAGTAATTTCTTCTAATATTGATATTTTTTTGAACGTTGTTATTAATTTTTTTTTATTTCTTAATTTTATTTATTTATTTATTTATTAATACAGTTCTGTACTGCACATGGACGTACAGACCTGCGCGTAATGACCTCCTTTGTGCTAACGATAACGTCTGGCGTATCGTCCAGAGGGCGACTCGGGCGCTCAAAGTTTCTCACTATAAAAATTGAATTTTGAGCTTTTAAAAATGAATCAAAAGCTTCTCAAAGCATCGCTTCTCGGCCTGATGGCTAAGATCAAAGTGTAGTATCTGTTCTTATCAGCTTAATATCTGATACACTCCTCATAGAGGAGTCTGAATATTAACCTGATTTTTGGAAACTGGTGGAGTCGGCGGGGCTCGCTCCTCCTCCACCGCGGGTCAGCCCGGCATTGCAGTGCCGCTGGGAGTGGCCCAAATTATATATTCTCAAAAAAAAGTTTTTAGTAGTCTAGTAGTCTCAAAATAATAGTCTCAAAATAGTCTCAAAGTAAAGTTCCTTAAAATAGTCTCAAAATAAGTATTTTCAAATCAAATAAATAGACGTTTATTCATTTTACTCAAATGCCATTAAAAATACGTATTTAATTATTTAAATAATATTTATATTCGAAAGAATTAAAAAGAAATACATATAGTAGATACAGAGAGTACCAAAATTATGTGCATAGACTAGCCATAGCTGGATTCTGCATCTTTGGATCGGTGGAGATCTGTTTGAAAATAATGTGCAAAATTGTACTTGACCGGTTTTTTCAAGACTAAAGTTTTTTATTGTTGCTCCGTGATTTACTCATCGAGAGAATACTCCAAGAAACCGTGGGTCGGAAATGACTCGTTCTCCTGAAAATGATTACATATATCTAATTATCATTAAACTCGCAATATATGTAACATGTTTATATTTTGCAATGGAATAGACTCTGCTATTGCCGACTGATGTCATATTGATGTCGAGACGAATTCAACACTGTATAAGCTCATTAGAGACAGCGTAATTATAGCGACAACGAACAATCCAATATACAGAGCTCCGCTCTGTATATCACATTTTTCGTTGTCGCTATAATTACGCTGTCTCAAATGAGCTTATACAGTGTTGAATTCGTCTCGACATCAATATGACATCAATCGGCAATAGCAGAGTCTATTCCATTGCAAAATATAAACATGTTACATATATTGCGAGTTTAATGATAATTAGATATATGTAATCATTTTCAGGAGAACGAGTCATTTCCGACCCACGGTTTCTTGGAGTATTCTCTCGATGAGTAAATCACGGAGCAACAATAAAAAACTTTAGTCTTGAAAAAACCGGTCAAGTACAATTTTGCACATTATTTTCAAACAGATTAATTATCGATTTCGTCCCACGCGTAAGTGTGCTCGCGCCGCGCGCGAAGCGGCGGAAAACACATTCGGTCGAGTCGAGCAGCGAAGAGCGACTGATCGGTCGTGAAGCCGCTACGCGAGCGCCGACCCTGCCACCTGTCGGCGCCGACTACAATTTCTGTCGAGCCGCGCTAGCGCCATCTCTCTCCTCGCTCGCGCGACTCGATTCGCGATGCCGACCGCGGCTCCACCAAGTGAAGGGATTGAAAGTGTTTATGATGCAAGGATAATGTAGGAAGTGGTATAATGTGAGGAAATGCGTTTCATCTCAGAGTCGCTGCCTAGACTCATCAGTGGGGTTGATGACAGGTTGAGTCGCCGCGTTCGCCCTGCGTGGACGGTCGGCCGACGCGCTTCTGGCAATATTCACGTTCGCGTTTGTGCGCGTGACCCTCCTCGCGGGGAAGAGCCGGGCCAGATTAGTGGCCACAGCCTCCAACTGTTCGCTCGTCTGAACGGCGTTCGCTTCTTCCACGAGGGCGGCGCGGGTACGCGCTGCTGCCGCCTTGGCAGACAGCGATTCCCCGTTAACCGCCCCGTGTCGTCGGCGTCGGCCGTTCGATGCAGGTGGCGGAGGGTTGCGCACCCCGGTGATCTCGCACTCGAGGGAAGGCGCACTATTCTCGCCGCTCCTACGGCCCCCCAGCGGGGTCGCCGGCGCGGGACCCGTTAATCGCGGCGCGGAACCGTCGCTCGAGGGGGGGTTCCGGCGGTGAACTCGCTCCCCTCTTCGCGTAGCGACGGTGACATCCCGGCGGCCGCAGGTACACCTACAGACGCAACCCCGGACGGCACCGGGGCGCCGCGAAACTGGTATGACGCCCGGACGAGTAGTGTGACCTGCGGCCCTGATTGTATTATCGACGCACGCTCCACGTGGCCGCGTATGTGTTCGACCCCTCCCTGCGTCGGGACGCGCTGAATCTGCAGCTGCAGGGGGGGTGGAGGGTTGGGGCGACTGCCGGCTCTCAGGTTGGCAGCGGGGTTGTTGCTGCAGTTGTTGTTGTGGTTGTTGTTGTTGTGTCAGCTGCTGCTGCTTGCGGGTGGGGGGACTTGGGGGCGAAGCTCTTTTACTCCTTCTTCGGCGGGCCCGCACGGGGGTCCACGTGTCCTCGTCCCCGACGTTGGTGACCTCTCGGACGATTGTCTCCGAGGGTGGAGGTGTCACATTTCCTATGGGTTCATTCGACCCAGCGGGCCGGGGACTCCCCAATACTGGGGGCAAAGTTAAATTTGGTTCGATCGTGCGTATGTCCTCCTTGATGGTAGGGAGGGGACAGATCGAAGAATAAGAAGAAGAAGTGGGGGAACGCGGAGTGCCATTGCCCATTAACGTCCCTCTCGTTAGGGCAGGCGAAGCTGTTATAGTGATGGGCCTGTCGGGGGACAGCAGCATCACCGGAACGATACCGGTGGCCGGCGGGGAGATGGTGGGTGATGGTATTGGCCGGCTGTACGACGGTGTGGTGGTCACATCCGCCGTAAGCACTGCACCAGTCAGGGGGACGAATGGGGGGGCCGGTGGCAAGGGGGATCGACCCTTTACCACCTCGACAAAAGTCGTTACCGGCGTGACGGGCGGGGGAGTTGGCCAGCTTCTCGCTGGTCGAGCCGGTGGGGGTGAGGGGGTGGCAGCCTTTGGGGCTGGGGCACTCGCAGGGGGGGTTGAGCTTCCTCTCGATGGGACCGCTCGCTTGTTTCTTTTGTGGGGTCCCGGGGGCGACGTCGATGGTCTCGTCGACTTTTGTGGCCCCGGGGGGGACTTCCTGTTGTGCGGGGCGGCCTTGGGGGGAATTGCAGGGGGAGTTTTGGGATGTCTCCCTTGGGTAGCAGCAGCAGCAGCCAGAGCCGATGCAGAAGTCGCCTTCCTCATTGGCGCCGCGCGACCCGCGCGCAGCTGGACGACGGTTGTAGTCGAGGCTGGGAGCAATTTCGCCGTTCCAGGCGGCGTGGGCACCTTG